GGGGGGGGAGAGAGAGGGAGAACGGGGGGGGAGAGAGAAGAGAGAGAGAGAGACAGGAGAGAGAGGGACACAGAGAGAGAGAGGGACACAGAGAGAGAGAGGGACAGAGAGAGAGAGAGACAGAGAGAGGAGAGAGGGGAGAAAGAGAGAGACAGGAGTGAGGGAGAGAGGAGAGAGAGAGGGACAGAGAGAGAGAGAGAGAGGAGAGAGAGAGGGACAGAGAGAGAGAGACAGGAGAGAGAGAGAGAGGGACAGAGAGAGAGAGAGACAGGAGAGAGAGAGAGAGAGAGAGGGACAGAGGAGAGGAGAGGAGAGAGAGAGGGAGGGAGGGAGAGGGAGAGAGGGAGAGAGAGAGAGAGAGAGAGAGAGAGAGAGAGAGAGAGAGAGAGGGACAGAGAGAGAGAGACAGGAGAGAGAGAGAGAGAGAGAGAGAGAGAGAGAGAGTTGAAGCCCCAACATTGCCTACGTAAAAGTTCCAGAATCCCGTCTCCACCCGAAACTCGCGTCCTGGCAGAGGTCTGGGCAGCGCGTTTCCTGTCGCCCAGGATGGGTCCCAGCTGAGGACACTTATTGCGCTGAGCCAACTCTGCTGTCTCTCTTCCCGAGCGCTTTGGCAGGCTTTGTGTCTTCCACATCTTGCGGTAGTTCAGTCATCAGGGCCGCGTCCGGAGGGCAGCTTCAGGCCTCCACGCGCCCCCGGCGTCCCCCGCGCTCGGCTCCCGGGCCCCGGGGCGCAGGCCAAGCAATCCGCGCAGCGCCCTCCCCTGACAATGCCCTTTAAATAAACCAATTCATTTTGGTGTATTTTTAACATGTCCTATGAGAAACTCCAGGGCCCTCAGAATTTCCCAAAGGCATACTAAGCCAAAAGGTGAGGCCTTCTAATTCTGCGAAGCCTTGTCAAGCAACCAAAGGTGAACAAACAGGAAATTTTATGGAGCTGTGCCACATACATGGGACCCCCTTGCAGCCTGCTGAAAAAGGGGTATCACTCCTCAGGCTCCCATCCTGTTCCCTATAGCAGGATGGCTCTCAACACTGCATCCAGTGGGAGATCCTGACAAAACTCTTGTTGGAGTCACCTCATTAGGGATTGCAGAGTTCTTGGCCAGATTTCCTTCAGGATGACTCTTGAAATGAGCATATCATGTACATATATAACCCAGCCAAAGTGTGGAAGTGCAAATCGGTCAAGGTTCTAACATCAGAAACAGACAAATTATATTTCTGCCTTTAGATTTTCACCAAAGGGTGCCAGATGCCAGTACCTATGCTGTTTAAAGACTGAGACACACATAACAACCTAAGAGGTGCCAAATCAGTTGACTTGAAATAGTAAAAGACAAGACACAGGTAATTGCCTTCAGATACTTCTCTTTCTAAGAATCCTCTTTTCAAATGGTTCTCCTGCTTTTCTTTATATACCACCTGAGGTAAGAATAAACTAAATTTCTATCACTTTAGCAAGGTCTCTATTTGAAATATGGAAGAAACTGGTCACCTATTGTTCCCAGGTTAGTACTCTCAAACAAATTGAGACAATAGAAAAAATTATTTAATATCCCCTTATATATTTAAAAAACATTTCTTAACTATTTAAATCAGGGAAAGGTGATGGTGATAAAAATATAAGTTATTAAAAAAGCACAATGAACAGACATTTATGATTGAATAAAAATAGAGTTAACCAGGTTGGGAGTTTATTGTTTGGAAGTAAAAATTAACTGATTTGATTATTTAAAAGATCACCTGAATATTCAGGTTCATATTTCATTTTAATTCTTTTGTCTAAATGAAAAATGCTTCATGAACTAACATTTTTAAAAAACATGAAAACTATTTCTAAAATTCAAGATAATTTATTTTGAATATTTGTGGTCAATATTGAATATTAATATGGTTCCTCATCAATTGGTATTTATTAAATGAAGTTACCATACATATTACTCAAATATTTGAAATGAATGTGATTACCCTTTCTGGTTTTTAAGAATTAGAATATCCTGAAAACTCTGAGCCAATGATTCTAATCAGGACATCTCTTGTATGCTGGAAAATAACACTGGCGTTTTACAATCAGGGAAACTGTATCAGATACCATACTTCAGATACGTAATAGCATTCACAGCTTCATATTTCAGAAGTTGCACAACATCATTTCATCATATTGCAAAAACTTTCCAGGAAAAATCTAAGTACATCATGTTTTATGCTTCGTACAACCATATCTTTGGTAGTTACGGGCACTGGATAATGAGAGCTCCATTTCACCTTCAAATCTAGATTAACCAATTTCTAGCAGAAAATAGAAATTTTAAACAACAAATATTTCTTATTCACTTCTGATATTGACATATACGGTGATATCTGAACTAGTGCAGATCAAATGGAGTCTAATAATAACAATTTAGACTTAGAAAGATAAACATATGTATAGAAAAAAATCTAAGGCCCCATTTAAATTATCTCTTTAAATATACATATATGTTTCTTAAAACTTTATCACATATAAAATGAAAGAGTAAATGAATCTTTCGAAGAATATCAACAAAAATATATAAGTATTTTTAAAAACAAACATTCTCAGTGTTGAGACGGACAGGTAAGACCTAAACAGTTGATGGCTAGTTTTTATTTTATTAAATTTTATTTTTGAAGATATAGATGGCCTCACTAATTTTTTATGGAATCATGGAATCACTCATTATTAAAAAGGATAAATGAAAAATTTCCTAAGCTGCTGACTTTAGAGTTTCAGGCTATTTCTTTTAGGCTTAATTTTTAAGCTTGGGGGAAAGAGAAGGAGGAAAAATATTTAGATGTATTTTTAGCAACGTAGAAATTCTAAAACGCTAATTTTGATTGATAATTTTTTTTTATATATCTTCTATGTGCATAGGGCAATGCTATCTCTTATGGGTTGGAAGGAAACATTTGACTTGATGATCTTAGAGTATTTCCAGTTTTTGTATTTTTAGTTGTATCAATACATGGTCTTACTCACAATTACTAAGTTCTCTCAAATTATCAGTTCTCTGACAATTAACAAGGTAACACTATTCTCATCACTCTAACTCTTCAAAGGATGAGTTTATTGCAGACAATATTCTAGTCTGATATATTCTTAATTGAAAATTAAGCTGACGGCCTTAAATATCTTTTCTATATTCTTTTCTAATGTGGTAAACTGTACACCATGAGTTTTAAAGAATGTTTCTCACCATATATTACTACAGCTTAATAAAGACAGGCTTAAGAAACTTGCTCCACTCTAAGAACCTGGCTCCTGGCCTTACTTTGATTCTAATTGACCTTTTATAGTTTGGAGGAGGAAATGACCTTCGAAATGAGAGTCTGTGTCCCAAGTGAGCTAAAAAAGGTAGAAACATACAAGAGAAAAAAGAAAACGAGACAAATTGATGTCCCATCCAGTTATTTTTACAAACTGCTTTTGCAGATTAAAACTCCAGTACCTAGGGCAATGGACTACGTGCATTTCAGAGGACATCATTTTGCTGCTGACCCATAACTGAGTTCTTCCCTACAGACGGAACAGGTGAGGGGATCTGTGAGTTTTACCTAGAGCAATGATTATTATATTTTGGAATAACATACCTTTCAAAGGATCTGATGAAAAATTATGAACATGTTCTCTACAAAATGTCACAAATACATATATCTATGCAGAAGAATACTATTCAACAACAAAAAAGAAAGTAATCATTGGTTCAGCAGTACAAATGAATCTCAAAAACATGCTAAGTAAAATAAACTAGTTATAAAAGAATGCAAATTGTATGATTGTACTTATATGCAACAGCCAAATCTAAGCTATAATGACAGAAAATAGATCAGTGGTTACCTGGAGCCAGGCATTGAGATAACTGCAAAGAAATAAGGTAAACTTTCTGGAGGGGTAAAAATGTTTTACATATTGATCGGTTTGTAATTACACTGGCATTTTTTTTTAATCAAACATTATTTTAATGTATATAAGTTAGACCTCAATAAATTTTATTTTTAAAAAATCACATCCCCCAAAATGGTACACTCAGATTCAGGGAGTCCACAGACTCCGTGATGTCCTTCCACATATCTCCTAAATGTCTTTGAATCTAAGTCTGTATAATAAAATACCTTGGAAAGAGCACAATGAAAAAAGTGAGCTGATTTTTGAAGGGCCACAGTAAGTTATTATTTGCTCTGAAAAAGAGTGAGGAGGCATGTATATTTTACACGGAATCAAAACATACACACGGTTTTAGTGTTCAATGCTTGTGCAGACTTGAGTCAAAATAAAAGCAATTCCCAAGTTAGTTTTAAAAATTATTAGCATGACTTATAATAAGAAATGGATCCTTGGCATATTTTTTTAAATATTCTGATAAATCCTGAAAATTAGGTGTAAACACGTGCACACACACATACATGTTTAAACTGAATAAAAGCAGGAAGCAAACAAGAGAATTCAGATATGAAGTGTTAAAGCTGAGGGAAATTAGTCAGATCCTCTATCTTTCTCTGGAAACTAAGAGACGATGCCGTCTGTTGGTCAGGGAACCAAAGGCGCAGGTACAAGGAGTGAGCTTGAGGGAAGTGATATAGATTTACAGTACATGCTCAGGGAATTAGAAGAGGAATGATGGAAGGCAAACAAACACACAAAGGAAATGTCTGTAGAGTGACACAGATAATCCAGCTAAAACTGGAAACCATCAATTTCATTAATCCAAAAAGTTACATGGCTGTTTTCCTCCAACGTGCTCAGTAGCCTAGGAAGCAAGAAGATTTACAGCTGGATTGTGACAGAGGTGGGAGTATGAAGGGCAGTGTGCTTGAAGGATGAGAAGATAACTCTGCTTGTGGGAATGCAATCAAGGCTACTGATCATGGGATCCATGCTGAATAGGACAGGAAGAGAACCTGGAAGGAGGGGGCTGATAAACTGAAATAAAAGGAGATGGGTCAAGGCACAGGTGTTCTGAGGAGGCAAAGAAGTGAGTATGTGAGAGCTCTGGAGGGATAGGATTCTGTAAGCAAGGCGTGGTGTATTTGGTCTTCAAAATTTAAGAGGTGTACAGCAAGTACTCTCTGAGAGATCTGGACATTATCATCTTCTGAGGTTGAAAGTGAGCCTCTGGGCTTTCAGCTGAATCAAAAACAGAATTGGTAGAAGTGACCTACTTACTAACTCACCAGACACAGATATGGAACTTAAGAAGGAAAAAAAATTACTTACATAGAAAAATTGCTTTATCCAGATGAATTATGAATAGAACCAAAGAGAAAGGAGAGTCAGGGAAAGAGAAATACCAAAGAGAGAATGAAGATAAGTCGTCATGCTATTTTTTCTGGGACATCTAATTTACAATCCCTTTGCCATTTCTATTCAAAATTCTAACTACCTCAATCTATCTATTTTACAGTGCAAGGAAAGTGGGCCTGCTCCCAATTGTCTGATTACTTCATTGTCTTAACAATAGTTTAGGTTTGCTATCCAAAGCTATATTCTAGTTCTGACATAGGGATTTTCTCAGTGAAAATTTTAACAGATTTTCCACGCGTTTGTCATTCAGGAGTGAAGCTGTGTTGTTTTCAAAAATGAAGAGAATGTGCTCATCTTTAGTAATGACCTGTCCTGGTCAGGTTTCTTTCATGAACACTGGGATTAACCACATAAAATAATAGGGTAACAGGGAAGAGGCATTTCTTCATG